ACACCGCCGTTAGTGTAAACACGTGGACTACGAACATTCCTAAGGCTACGCCCGCCGACTCGGAGATACCTGGCACGTGCAAGCGAATACAACGGCAGCAGCAGCAGCAGCAGCAGCAGTTGCGGTATCAGTGGCAGCGGGCAATTCGCCTTGTCCTGTTCGCAGTATTGGTATGACACAGGAAATACCCCTCTGGTGTGTCACCGGTGCCTCCAATACTGACTCGACCGCAAATGATTCAGATCTCGCTTCTCACCCATGGTCATGAGGCAGGCGAAGAAAAAGAGAAGGCCGATGGTGCATGTCATCAACCCGGCCGCTGGTATCAGCGTCTGTATCGCGGCACGAACGTCGCCGGCGTGGAGTCATGAATAGGCAACACAGCCGTCAATGAAAGCGCCACCACCACCACCACAACAGAGGCAGCATCATCAGCAGCAGCATCAGCAGCAGCCGCAGCAGCGACAACAACAACAACAACAACAACAACAACAACAACGACAACAACGTCAGCAGCGACAGCAGAGGCAGCAACAGCAGCGATAGCGACAGCAACAGCAGCGGCAACGGCAGTGGGAACGGCAACATCGTCACATGTACCCGTTACCACGGTCAGCGATCGTTTCAGCAGCACCACGACCACCAGCAGGAGGAAGGGCAACGTCGTCGTCGTAAGAGACACAACAAAAAGAGGCGGCACAAAAATTATCACGAAATGCAAGTGGCGGCACCTAAGAACCTACTCGTTTCTCCTTTACTCTGCGAGGTGTCACCCAGAATGAACTACGTAGGTTCGGTTCATGGTACGCCTAAACTGGGTATCTGCTCTGCTCGTATCGCCGAGATCCATACTTTCAAAAAAATCGATCCTGAAGTTCTCGACTCCCAGGTTGTTCAGCGGTGGCGCGTTCTGTATTACGCATCACTCCCCCTTTCTGCCATCACCAAGCCTTTTACACGAACTAGGTGCAACAGTTTAGTCACATCGGAGAAAATGCCGTGGCTGCTGATTGAAACATGGAATCCTTGATCGGCGCTGTAGCCTGTTTCGGAAGTATAAGTTGGACTGGTACGGACATTAGAAGGTACTGAGCAAGACCGGAACGGGTTTTTTAATGTGAAGACAACAATCACCACAACACCAACGAGAACAACACATCCAAAACAAAGAAAGACTGCCCGCTCGAAAAATAACTCTGTGCTATGTTGAGCCTGCACCAGCTAAGACGGGCACGCACGTACCTGTAGATAGGAGATGGCGGTTGCGGCGGAGACAACCCCGGTGGCGATGTACGAGATTACGGCAAGGCAGGCGGCGAAGGAGGCCACCGGCTTGCTGGTCGTGTTGATCAGCACGTTGTACGCGCCGCCGTTCATCGGCAACGCAGAGATTGCTTCGCCGTAAATGAACCTGCCGAAAAGCACAAGCACACACGAAAGAAGCGTTCAAAAGGGTGAAAAACAAAGGTGCACAACGAAGAGTGAAAAACAACAATCTTAAGAGGGGGGTCAACATGAAACGAACATCAACGCCACAGTACTGTTGAGCAGCGTTACTAACGCTGGATCTATATTTTCACATGGTGTTAGAGTAGCGTCCTCCAGGCCCTCAGGAGGCATCTAGGTGTGCAAGAACTGTTTCTTCGTGCACCCTTGAAAACAACAAAAGAAGAGCGTGTCGACCACGGCGTACGCTCTCACTGCTGCCCTGCCCTCCCAATGAAGCGTGAGTCCTACCGATGAGGTGTTGGAGTGCTGGCTAATGTGTGATCGGCACCGCCGCATGGTGGTCGAACGGACACAAGATAGCCTTGGGCTGGAAGAAACAACACCAGGACCGACGATGACGCCAACAGCGATAACGGCAACAAACTACGAACAACAACAACAGCAATAACTCACGAGCAACAGCAACAACGGCAACAGCAACAACGACAACGACGAAAGCCACGACAACGTCGGCGATCTCGACAAAAAAAACGACAACTGTTCCAACTCAGATGAGCGAGGGAGCACCTAGTGTTGGTACTTCGGTAACCCTCGTTAGAGCCTCGATGACGGAGCTTGAAAAAAAGACACTGGCGTCACCACAACAAATCGCAGGTCGAGAGAGAGAGCTACTTGCGCCTTTGCTTACCTGTAGAGGTAGAGAATCCCCGCGACCATGAGCAGGCACACCGGGGATAACCAGCCAGCGAATCCGGTCACCAGGCCGGTCACGTACAGCACACTGAAGGACAGGGAACGGAAGGGAAGGGGAAGGGAAGGGGAACAACCACCGAAGGGGAACAACCGCCTCCGAAATGAATGAAAACACATGAAGCCCAACACGAGGCTAAAAAGAGGTATCTCTTAGGGCGTTAAATGCATATACAGAAGCATTAAGGGTTTCCGCTAATTTATTGTTTCTTCCTGCCACGAAAAATATATCATTCAAAATGGTCATTGAGACGTTCTAAACACGTGATTCGTTCAGGAGAGCGGAACTACCACAGGTCACGATTGGAACTCACTCAGCAAGCGAGACCGAAAAGCATCGACACGGGAATGATCTACAGCACCGCCGTTGGGCTTCACCTCGAGAGGATGTCGTTTCCGCTTATTGCCGTCGCATACCACTCTCCCAGCTTCTCGTGGCCCCTGCCAAGACCACGTGTGATAAAAAAAAAAAACACCATAGCGGTGGCAGAATTTGTATGAGTGGTTTCCAACGGAGGCGAAAACGACGCAAGCAGTAGTACACAGCGGGAGTTTGTCATAGGATACTATTCGTCGCAAGCCAGCTCGGCAAGATGGGTCTTGCTGCCAATTGTGTCGAATATACAGTAGCCCCATTGATTGTATCGAGAAGCGCAAAAGGCTGATCTGACCCATCCAATGATTACCAAACCGCCACCGGCTGGTGCGTCAAAGGCGTTCCGAAAGGGAATGCCCGGAGTCAAGAATAGATGTTGTGGTGGTTGTTGTCTTGACATTGAAATCGTTCCGGTCTCTCCTCCGTATCAGACAACATTCCTACCGGTCCAGCTGACGCAGACACCTTCCCTGGTCGCAAGCCAACTACCCAAAACACCGGTGAAACATGTGGTGCGCATTTCTAGAATCACGAATGATGGGGCGAACGATACTAATAATACACAACGATCATCTCTGCGTGTCACAAACCATGATATTTTCCATTATCACTAACCCGTGGTCCTTGCTAGGGTTCGACAGGGCGAGCCCAGGCGGTGGGTTCATGGTAAAGTGGCTCCCCCATCCAGGAAATTCCCACGATTCCAGTCGGACCCGGCTCGACACGCGCCTAGATTGATAGGCCGCGCCGAAGACACAGACAAAGCAGACACAGCAGACATGGCAGCATCGGGGGGATGCCGATGACATCGGTCCGTGAGGCGGGAAAGGCTTGGGAGGGACGGTACCAGCAAGTGTAACGACGACGGACGCTGACGACAATGACACGAGTAGAGAGCACAAGCCTCGGTACACACGTGAGTTTGTCTCCATCTGCCCCCGTGTCCGAATAGCGTAACCTCCCCCGTGACCCGGCCGGACCGCGTCCCAGATGATGGCCTTTCAGAACAACGCTTCTGGTTTTAGCAGAAATGAGACTCGCGGCGTTTCATTTTCAACGGGGAATGCGTGCGAGAACAAAGGGACCACATACACTGAGACTGGCATGATTTCATTGGTCAGCCGTTTTGGAGTGGACGATACCCATAGAGCAAAACAAACACACACGCCAGCGTTATTTCTTTGGGTCAGTCGACGAGATTGACGATGGCAACAGAACAAAACAACAAATCAATCGCACACAGACTGGCGTCATTTCATTGGCCAGCCAGACAGGAACGAACCACGCCATTTGCCGGACCCGTCATTCCATTGGCCAGCCGGATAGGAACGAAACATGCAAAACAAACACACAACACACACAAGTACCACACCACACCTCGGTAAGCCAAGGGTAGTCGCCGAGTCGTAGGAAGCCATCCTCGACCTAGCGCCAGACCCGAGCGGTCCCTTCGTGTAAGCGGTCGTCCCGCCGCGGTCGCCGGACCCCCCCTTCAGCTTGCTGCTGCCCTTGCCCCTCCCCCTCCCCACTGTGCTAGGAATCATCGTGTTGCTGGCGTTGCCGCCGCTTCCCCATCCGAGCAAGGCGTCCTTCTCGCTCCCTCTGGGCGTCGCTCCCGAAGCGGCACGTGCTGGAGACTCGCCCCCTGCCGGTTCCATTTTCCTTGTCGGAGGGAGGAAACAGCAGGCCGATCGATGGAGCCTCTGCTGTGGTGCACACACGGGAGAGGAAAGGCCAGCGAACAAGTCTGGAGGCGTTGACGAGAAACAAGACGCACGTCTGCGGTGGATTCTGCATCCTGGGCCGATTCTCGAAGTATAAAATACTCCGCAGCAGCAGCAGCAGCGAGTAGCGGTGCCCACAATGGCGGCATTCGAACCGTCTCGTCGAGAGCTCTCCGGAGACGTATAGTCTGATATATTCCAGGAGGTATACGTATGTCCTCTTCGTCGTGGAGTGTACAGTCGAGCTTAGGAAAAAACGGTCCAGGCGGTGCGATATCTTGAACAGCTGTTTGAATTTGAGCACCGTCGGTGAGCAGCCCGGTCAACCCAGAAACCCTACAACACAAACCTATTTAGTCTAGCGGTCATTTGTAGCCCACACGAGGAACTGCGGGGACGGACCCCAGCCTCGGCGAAAACTATAAGTACATAGGTCGCAAAATCTAGCGGGTGCCATCTACGGGTAGACCAAAGGGGAGACTACTCGCACCACGTTTCAACGGCCCGTTCCGGTGCACCAGCGGACGCAGTTCACCTCGGAAGTCGGAGGGTTCGGTGCTGGGCAAGGCAAGTACATCGCAGCACCAGCATTCGGTGGTGAACAATAGAGGAAACACAGACACACACAGAGGGAGAGAGAGAGAGAGAGAGAGAGAGAGAGAGAGAGAGAGAGAGAGAGNGAGAGAGAGAGAGAGAGAGAGAGAGAGAGAGAGAGAGAGAGAGAGAGCTGCTTCCTGAGCAATGTAAGAGCTGCTACCATCAAGCCAGCTCAAACGTGACGCTGTCCGCTGCACCTGGAACATGTAAACATCCTGCGTTCTCAACATTGGTCAACCGGCGTGTTGTACACACGTTTCTCTCATGTGGCGCGAAGATGCGATATTCAGACTCCCTTTCGAAGATTTGGTGCACGCACCCAGCAGGCGCAGGCACCAACAACACCAAGAGCAGGACACAAGTCCCTCGACAACAATAGCAACGTCAACAACAACAACAACATGGCAGCTGGTGCCTTGTGAAGCGCAATGGTCTTAGGTCTGAAGCCAGGGCGGATAATCATGTGTCATCATGGAACAGTCGGGCAGCAGCGATGTATCCCGTTCAATGAAGTCACTTTCTGTCTCTCACCGCAACGAGAACAACGATGCTTACCTGACCAAGAGTTCCCCGAGTTTGCAGTTGAGGAGGACAGTGGTATGCTACGCCTAAGCGCAACCGATGATATGGCTTGTGACCAACGTTCTGGGGGGGCGTGCTCGAAGCGTTTCTTTCAAAGTGGGTATGTTATGTCATTTCCCGGTGCCCCTTAGACCGGATCAGAGCCGCGCCTCCAGCTCCCCCAGCACACAGCCAGCGCAGAGAGAGCAATACCGGCACACCAACTTATCCAAGGCGCAAGTCAGGTGCGTGAAAACAGAGATCTTTGTGTTAGTAGTTGACTGGCTCGAGGTGGTCGTGGTTGGGCCCCGAGGCACCGATTTTTCGTTTGTCGTACTGCTGTAGCTTGATATGGAAATAGGTCACCACCTGCTGCGCGACGCACTCCGTCCAACCTGCCAGCCACTCTGGCTTCAGAAACGTGTTTGTTAGCCCTAGGTCAACGTTGGTGCTTAGAAGTGTTGACGCGTGGCAGTGTTAATGTTCTCTGTGCCTCTCTCTGGCGCGATCGAGCTGCTGGGAAACAGCCCTTATAGACCCTTGATAAGCTGGATGTTCTCACAACTCCAGCTGCTGCACATGGGTGCAACAACACAGGTCTAACGCATCATGCGTACAGTCTTCCAGCACAGCAGTGCAGGGGATAACCAGGTTACACAGCCGTAGGGAAGCTTCAGATTTACCTTGTTCCATCCCGGTCGGTGCTTGAAGCACCCACTTTACTGCTAAATTGTGACCGGACGGGGTCTGGCCTCTCGTGGGCAAATGAAAGCAGCAGATGCTCCCGACATAATGCCCCATGCGCGTTGGTTCGAGGCAACGTGAAGAGGTTGTAAATAGTAGCGAGAATTCATGAAAGTCAGCTGTGGTAGTGCAACAGGCATCAGTCCGTGATGGCAACGCCCAGTACATAAGCGCCCTTCTCAACTAAATTCTTGCTGGGAGAGAGACGTCGCCTTGTTTTCTTGTGATCGGGCTGCAGTACATGACGTTAGATACCACACCCCTTGTGGTATCATCAGTTTCGCCGGCTGTGTGCGGTATTCTGTGTAAGCGGGTGTTAAATATGTTTCGTCCCCTTAGTCTCTTCGGTCACCAGTGTGATAAACCGATAAATCACCCGTCTTTTAGATCCGGAACTCAACACATCCTACTGCTGTCATTTATTATGGTGTGGTATTCCACCATGGTAGAGGAATGGTGTCTTCTGCCAATCACGATCTCAACAGTAGACACAGTGCACACCATAATTCTGAGAGCGCGTCGGGACACCTTCACCACTACATCACCTCGGTGGTGTCTGCTGTGTGCGACTCCCCACATAAATACCAGGGCGGCTTACTGATGGTCTGTTCCTTCATATGTCTCAGCGAGAGCATTGCACAATTCAGCAGTCCTAGCGACGCAAAAGCAGATACTCGCAACGTCGTCTGGGATTTGTTTTGAGTGCATCTTGCCGTACCACCAACGTTCTTGTCTAAGACACTACCGTTTACTTGAGCCGTTCAACAGAGTTCCTCCACGAAAGCAGTACACCAACAGCCCACCAAGTTAGAACCACGTCCATGTGACTTTCTTGCCTTACCGTTAGCGCCCCCCTTCCCCATCTCGTCGGAACCCCAAGAAATCTCACAACCGCCGTCGAAATGAAGCCAACCTGACTTGCGCCAAGCGGCATCATAACATGGCGAAGCCAGACGAAGGCGGGTATTTGTGTACGGCGATTCAACCCAATTCCTTCACGAAAGCAGGCCAACAAGTAACACAGCCGGATGAATAATCGTCCCCTATGCGTCTCCGTCGCAACTAACTGTTTTAACACACCGCATCCTTGCTGCCGCATCTGGTCGTACCCCACACCAATGCACACCCACCCTTGAAATAGTATCCACCCTTGCCCGCAGTGACAGAGCAAAGCGGGGAAGAAAAAAAATATGGCCAAGCCAGGCGAAGACGAGACCAGCAGCGCGAAGCGAAAGAAAGCGCAGCAGGAGCCGGAAGAGTCGGAATCCTCTTCCGAGGACGAAGCCGGACCTCAGCCTGCGGCGCCTGGGCAGCTAGGGGAGGACTCGGACACGGACGGGGAGGCAGGGCCGCCGGCACCGGCCCCCGTGAAGCAGAAGAAGAAGCGGAAGCTGGCCCACGAAAAGGTGGACGAGGGGGGGGGGGTACTCGTGTAGACGCGTGCCGTAGTCGTTAGACTGTTGACTTCGAATAGGATGGGTCGGTGAGGGGGGGGCGGGGGGGGGGGGTCCTCCTAGTCGTGCATGCCGTAGTCGTTAGACCATTGACCTCGCATCCCTACAAGCCGGGACGGAGCACGCCGGGTTCTCACCGGACCAGGCTCTCACATCACCAAGCGCGAAGCGCCGTGAGATATTCGGCGGGTCGCATGAAGGGTGCGCTGCATGCTGCTAAGGGTGTTCGGCGTCTTGTGCTTACTTTCTTGCGTACGGATGACAGCTGCGTATGACTTTATTTATTTTCTGGTGCTTTCACTTCCAGAGACAGTTGTAAGCACTGCGTAACTGCCTCGAGGGTGCTTGACCAATTTAACACAACGTGGTGCGATCATCCCCCTTGCGCGGAGTGAGGGTTCTCCACCCCGCACAACATGATCCACTCGACCACCAGTATGGTTACCGCCAAAAGAAAAACAGGTGAAAAAATCCCGGTAACATGGTTGCCGAGTTCACGAAGTGAATTGGCTTCTTTAACAACGTCGTTGCCAAGCGACGAACACCCAATCCCAATGGCAAACGCCGATGGGGGGTCATGGGGGAGGGGGGTCTTTCGCATCCACCGCGCTAACCGGCTGACGGGTGAAGAGACCTCAGTCTCCGGGCGGCTAAAAAACCGTGTTTGAAGATGGGAGTATGGGGGGGAGTACTCATGTTTTTCGTGCCTTAGCTGTTAGACCGTTGACCACGCGTCCTCCAGAGGACTGAGCATTGTTCCCATTGAACGGATCGTACCTATCCTATCTTGGTCAAAGGGGGGGCATTGACATCGACCGCGCCAACCGGCTAGCCAGTGATTAGACACTAGTCTCAGGGCTGCTGAGAAGGCATTTCTAAAGGTAATGTGTGTGTGTTAGTTTCAGTAGGATCGGTCAACCGAAGCGGTTGTCCAATCAAATTATTTCAGTCTCAAAAGGTGTGTGTAGTTATGCGTTCCTTTCAACATGACTGTTCGCTTACAGGGTTACGCCAACCATGTGCCTGCCTCGCCATGTGCCGTAGGGTCCCATTTGGACGGCAAACCCCACCTTGTCTGAACCTTTCACGCGATGGCTCTCCCAAAATGTGACGTCGAAGCAGGTGTACATGCCTCCCCATCTGCCGTAGAATACCATCTGCCGTAGGATACCATCTGCCATAGAAAACCGTCTGCCGTAGGATACCATCTGCCGTAGGACACCATCTGCGGTAGGACACCATCTGCCGTAGGACACCATCTGCCGTAGGATACCACCTGCCGTATAATAGCATCTGCCGTAGAATAACATCTGCCGTAGAACACCATCACCGAGTTGGACGGAGAACCCCACCTCGTTCGTACCTACCTATGCGATTGCTCTCCCACACCGAACATGCATAGACCGAAGCGCCCACCCTGCTTGTACCTACCGATGCGATTTGCTCTCCTACATTGTGACGTCCAAGCAGGTGTACCTCGAAGCCCTGCCAGCGGCGCCGATGTACGAACGTAGCTACATGCACCGGGACGTGGTAAGCCACGTCCTCATGACCCCCTGCGGCACCGACTTTCTGGTCACGGCTAGCCTGGACGGGCACATCAAGTTCTGGAAGAAGATGCCGGAAGGGGTGGAGTTCGTCAAGCACTACCACTCGCACCTCGAGCCAATCCACGACCTAGCGGTGAAGAAGCAGCGTCGTTTTTCCTTTCTTTTTTTTGTCACTTATGGGATCCTACAAGCTCATCACGAAAACAATACAAGCCCCTCACCTTTCTCTGTAGAATCTGCCAGGGAGAGCTATCTCCGTAGATATTGCCAGGAGCTTCTCCGTAGGTTTGCTTGGAGCCAGGAGCTGCCGGGGGGGGGGAGTGTACTCATAGTCGTGCATGCCGCAGTCGTGAGACCATTGACCTCGCATCCCTACACAGCCGGGACGGAGCACGCCGGGTTCTCACCGGACCAGGCTCTCACATCACCAAGCGCGAAGAGCCGTGAGATATTCGGCGAGTCGCATGAAGGNTCCCCCTTGCGCGGAGTGAGGGTTCTCCACCCCGCGCAACATGATCTACTGGACCACCATTATGGTTACCGCCAAAAAAAAAAATGGAGGTGAAAAAAAACGGTAACCTGGTTGCCGAGTTCACGAAGTGAAATGGCTTCTTTAACAACGTCGTTGCCAAGCGACGAAAACCCAACCCCGATGGCAAACACCGGGAGGAGCCTTGGGGGGGGGGTAGGGGTAACCACCACCCCCCTCCCCTCGCTCCCCAAGCGGCCGGTGCATGAAACATTCCATGTGAAGTTGGCGCCAGAAGAGATGGAACCAAAAAAACACACCAAGCACACCACCCCCGTTGGTTTTCAGAAACACAACGAATTACCGTATATGACACAAGATAACACCCCCCCCTGGACCGATTTTCAAAGGTCGATCACGCCATGACGAAGGGGATGCACAAATGAAAACAATACATTTTCGGAAAGCTCTCGACGAGATAGCTTCAACGCCACGGTGTTCGGCGCTGTGACTCTTTCCTGTTGTTGAGAAATGACATTTGAAAACCGGTCTAGGGGGTGTGTTATCTTGTGTCATATATAGTAATCTCTTCCGCATATGAGAGTCCGGGGTAGGTTAGCAGTGAATTCATCGCATGGTATGCATATGATGGCCAACCGGTGTTGGGTCTTGGCAACCCCAGAGCAGCAACATCTCGTGCCATGTGGGCAACAGGCTCTACGCCACAATTTGTTTTTATTTTCATATTTCTGTCTTGCAGGTATCGAGCGAGGGCAATCCCCGAGCAGTATGAAGCAACATCTCATACGATGTGGGCAACAGGTTCTAGAGACAATGTTCAAGTTTTCTTCCCTTTTTTTTTTTGCAGGTATCGAGGGACGGTCAGCGGCTGTGCACCACTTCGGCGGACAAGAGCATAAAGTTCTACGACGTTGTTTCGTTCGACATGAGCCACATGATCGCCCTCGGCTACACGCCC